CGGCAGCCTAGCGTAGGCCAACCGCCGTAAACACCAAAATCTAAGAGCAAATCAAGGCACTACTGCTATGGGCCGATAGTCCAAAGGAAACTACTCAAGGGCGATCATGATGGACTTCAAGTTGATGGAGATGGTCACCGTGGAGATTCCCCCCTCCAATAGAGTAATGAAAAAGGCGTCTAGATTGATCATCATGGAATAGAAAGGTGCGGCAACAAAAAAATTAGGGTTAAATCTGGAGGTATTTTTAGGTATATATAGAGGGATGTTGCAAGGCGGTGTATAGGAGATCGAGGGGCCCTACACAACCCCACCACATGCCCCCATGTGGTGGGGGCACGTGGGGTCCGTGGCCCCTGGCTACTTCTTGTGGCCTCTGGAAGCTTCCAGATGAAAAAATACTTCTAGAATTTTTGGAGCTCCATAGTTTTTTTCTTTCAAAAGTCCAAAAACACGCAAAAGAAAACAACTGGAACTTGGCACTGAATTAATAGGTTAGTCCAAAAATAATAATAATAAATTTGGTCCAAAATTATGCCAAAATGATATAAACATGATATGAAACAATAAAAAATTATAGATACGTTCGAGATGTATCACCTACCCATAGCTTTCTCCATGACATGTTGGTCGGAAACACCTACCAGTCCTCCTTTTGTTCTCATCGACAACACCATATTTGTGATTGCTCACATTTATGACGGAAGTACTAACAACCACTTCGTTTGGCTGCAGAATAATATCATTATTATCTCCCTCATCATCCAGATTTTTTTATTGCCAGCGATGAGTTAGAAATTTCATTTTCTTCCTTCTCTGTCTTGTTCACTTCAACAATAACTTGCATGCTCAAACCAAGACCTCTAGCAGAATCACTCAACTCCAGTAACCTCTTTCTCTCGGCTACTTCACATAGCTCGCATTAACACATGAGACAAGAGTCTGCCTCGTGCTACCTCACACAACCCGAGACCTTTACTTTCTCCGTTTCTCTTCTATCAAATAAAAAACATGGTTACAACCGCTTAAATTAACACACACACACACACATCGCACAACAAATGTTCTGCTACCAAGATTGAGGGAAAGATCAAGATAAGTCGATACGGTAAATTTAGGGCCTCTTTGCATCACAAGATTGTGAAACATAGGAATAAGAAAAACACACAAATATGACAGTGCAAAAATATAGGAGAACAAAGCACAAGAAAAATGTAGGAATAGTTGTTTGAAATTGTAGGAATAGTTGTTTGGATCAAACACATGAAAGTGCCTCGATCCTACACGATTGAGTCTAAAAGACAGGTTGGAGTGGATGTTCCTTTGAAAAATTTCCAAAGGATTGGAATCCTACAAAATTCCTTTAGGCCAAAGAGGGCCTTAGGTGTTAATTGACAGGAAAATAATGCACTTGCTAAATTCCCCATACAACTATGTTTCAACACTCCAAAATATCAAACACCAACCAAATTATGCTTGCAAGAACATAACAAATGAGACAACCAAGTACAAAAGTACTCCCTCCATTCACAAATATAATATATTTTGAATATTTCAATATGTATTACATACAAACTGAAATGAGTGGACAAACACACTAAAGCGTGTCTAAATGTTGGAAATATGCCCTAGAGGCAATAATAAATAAGTTATTATTATATTTCCTTGTTCATGATAATCGTTTATTATCCATGCTATAATTGTATTGATAGGAAACTCAGATACATGTGTGGATACATAGACAACACCATGTCCCTAGTAAGCCTCTAGTTGACTAGCTCGTTGATCAATAGATGGTTACGATTTCCTGACCATGGACATTGGATGTCATTGATAACGGGATCACATCATTAGGAGAATGATGTGATGGACAAGACCCAATCCTAAGCCTAGCACAAGATCATGTAGTTCGTATGCTAAAGCTTTTCTAATGTCAACTATCATTTCCTTAGACCATGAGATTGTGCAACTCCCGGATACCGTAGGAGTGCTTTGGGTGTGCCAAACGTCACAACGTAGCTGGGTGGCTATAAAGGTACACTACAGGTATCTCCGAAAGTGTCTGTTGGGTTGGCACGAATCGAGACTGGGATTTGTCACTCCGTGTAAACGGAGAGGTATCTCTGGGCCCACTCGGTAGAGCATCATCATAATGTGCACAATGTGATCAAGGAGTTGATCACGGGATGATGTGTTACGGAACGAGTAAAGAGACTTGCCGGTAACGAGATTGAACAAGGTATCGGGATACCGACGATCGAATCTCGGGCAAGTATCGTACCGCTAGACAAAGGGAATTGTATACGGGATTGATTAAGTCCTTGACATCGTGGTTCATCCGATGAGATCATCGTGGAACATGTGGGAGCCAACATGGGTATCCAGATCCCGCTGTTGGTTATTGACCGGAGAGTCATCTCGGTCATGTCTGCATGTCTCCCGAACCCGTAGGGTCTACACACTTAAGGTTCGGTGACGCTAGGGTTATAGAGATATTAGTATGCGGTAACCCGAAAGTTGTTCGGAGTCCCGGATGAGATCCCGGACGTCACGAGGAGTTCTGGAATGGTCCGGAGGTAAAGAATTATATATAGGAAGTGCTATTTCGGCCATCGGGACAAGTTTCGGGGTCACCGGTATTGTACCGGGACCACCGGAAGGGTCCCGGGGGTCCACCGGGTGGGGCCACCTGCCCCGGGGGCCACATGGGCTGTAGGGGGTGCGCCTTGGCCTATATGGGCCAAGGGCACCAGCCCCTAGAGGCCCATGCGCCAAAGGGACAAGAGGAGGGGAGAGTCCTAAAGGGGGAAGGCACCTCCGAGGTGCCTTGGGGACGATGGACTCCTCCCCCCCTTGGCCGCACCCTTCCTTGGAGGAAGGGGCAAGGCTGCGCCCTCCCCCTCTCCCTTGGCCCTATATATAGTGGGGGGAAGGGAGGGCAACCATACCTAAGCCCTGGCGCCTCCCTCTCCCTCCCATGACACATCTCCCTCCTCCCGCAGCGCTTAGCGAAGCCCTGTTGGAATCCTGCTACTTCCACCACCACGCCGTCGTGCTGTTGGATCTCCATCAACCTCTCCTCCCCCCTTGCTGGATCAAGAAGGAGGAGACGTCGCTGCTCCGTACGTGTGTTGAACGCGGAGGTGCCGTCCGTTCTCTTGATTTGGATCACGACGAGTACGACTCCATCAACCCCGTTCTCTTGAACGCTTCCACGCGCGATCTACAAGGGTATGTAGATCCACTCCTCCCTCGTTGCTAGATGACTCCATAGATTGATCTTGGTGACACGTAGGAAAATTTTGAATTATTGCTACGTTCCCCAACACTAAATGCATCAGATTTAGGAAAAAGTTAGAACATCTTACATTTGTTAACGGAAGGACTAGTTGCTTATGTCAAATGCATATATAACAAACACACGCATGCACTCGTCCACACGCAGGGAGAGAGAGATAGGGAGAGATAGAGATAGAGATGCTTGTCAGTAAGAGTATCACACTCACATTTCAGGCTACCACACAAGGATGTGGATACACCCTCACACTACATGCTCCCAGGCGTCGACCGTGCAGCTGCACCCATAGCTCACATCGCGCGATCCTATCCCCCGAACACCCCTCAAACCGTCACTCTGCACGACCTCCGGTTGGAATCGCTGGTGCGACAGAAGAGGAAGACAACATCAGCGGCTCTAATTTCCACCTTCCATGCGAAGCTATTTCCTTTCTCTTCACGGACCCCCAAGCGGTTGGAAGGACGCATGATCCCTTGAGACACAACGTGGCTTGAGCAAGCAACACGATTCCGTGCACTTTGTCCAATGTGGGCCGACCCAAACCTGGTAAACAATCGTCTGAACAGATGCAATGAACCAACTGCTTACAAATGGGCCCAAGAGTGCGTCCTAAAGCATCGCAATGCACCACATGCCATTATTTTCTGAGAGCTTAGAAACTCAAGATATTCATACAATATGTTTTTCTTCCTTGGGATTCAAAGTGAAATTTTTTGTTACACCATAGACATTTATTTATGTTTTTGAACAAGGAGCGACAAGTGACACCCGCAAAAAAAAAAAAGGAGCGACAAGTGACAAGGGGACCCAAGGCCGGTGGCTGACAAGTGGGACCCGTGGTCGGTGGCGTGGGCCTGGCGGGCGGGCCGTCCGACCGTGGGCGCGCGTGCGGGCATCCATCTCATCGACCGCTGGACCGGCTGGCCCATCCTACTCGCACCACCACCCGCTTCGACGGCCTAGTGAAAGTGATGGCGCTGTAGCGCAGTGGTGGCAGTGTAGTGGTACCTGCCC